GAAGAACCGTCTAGATAAAGTGCGTGAAGTGCGACGTCGGACCCTGGATTTCCGGATGTTTCCAAGATTTCCACACAAAGCCAACTTCCGTTAGACAACGCAGGTGGGAAGACAGACAACTTATAAAGCTGGTGACCAAAAATCATGTAAGTAGAAAAAGAATTTATAACTTAAATTAGATTTTAAGAAAGCCGGCCGCACGCGTGGACTGCGCGACGACATATGGCGTCATTCGTCCCCTTGACTTTATTTTCATGACGCCATATGGTGTCGCTCGGCTCTTAAAGGTTAAAGGTGATACATTTTTTTCAGAACTCCTTGTTAAATGTGACTTACAGTTAAGTCATCTGAGGTAGAATATGACCCAAAGAAGATTTGAAATTACATAGTTCTGAATTAAAAAAGAACAATGTAGCTCAAACTAGAAGTTTTCAGGAAATTACTGAAAGTATGATTACCTAGGCTTGTGAGATTCCATTGCATCTGGAGTAGAGCTTCTCATTGTTGGTAATGAGCCAAATGACACATGTTTTGAAGTTTTTCTTGGGGTTCCAGCTATGTTTTGTGCAGTGGTAGACTGTGACAGCACAAAAGTTATTACAGAGTCTTTATGCATTCTGTATATGAAGTGCATACTGGGAAGGTACATTGAAAAGGTCAAGTCTGTCTGTTCATCTCTGCATCTGTATCTCCTCCAAAACATTTTTAACAATGGAAAATTACTTGTGTAAATATGTATTCCCCCACCGAACCCTTTCACTAAATATGCTGGACCTAGATATTCTCATGAAAAATTACATTCCTAGTCATATTTTTCAGCAAATAAATGTTCTGCAGCAACAGGCCGATAATTTTTTTTGCAATACTGTTACTTTATGAGTACAAACATACTGAAAAACTCTAACCAAAAGAAATGTTTGTAGCCCATAGTGTTTCTTCTCTTCGTTGTTCAGTATGAATGGGGTCTTAAGGAAACACATTATATTGTGAGCATACCTGGGAAGTTCCCCTTTTTGTTTCTTTTTATGTCAACGAGAATTATTTTGCCTTTTACAAGGCCACAACTCTCAGTTTCATGTAATGGAAAATTAAGCAGTGTTAAATCACCTACACTACACAGAATCATTCTATTCTCTTATGAACATACAAGCAAAATTCTCAAGAATTTGTTCACATTCAAACTTACTCCTGGAGTTGAGTCACCCGTCAGAAACTCTGGAAGATATGGGGATGTAAATCCTGGGCTGGCCTGGCTGCCTACTGGTGAACCAAGTGTCATTGGCTCCATTTCTACAAAATTAACAAAGATGTCACAATTTCTTGATACAAGTGAGAATAAAGTATTACGAGACATGCCCCGCTTTATGACTAGGACACTAGATTTTCAGCATTTATAATTTACGGCCTCCTTTTAAGGAGGTGTTTTGAGGATATCACGCTGTCTGTGTGTGCACATTCTCTTTCAACTTTTGAATAAGATGAATTATTTTCACAACATTTGTTATGAACATTGTGCTACCAGAAACCACACCAACTTCATACTTTTCAATTTCCTACTGTCAATAATATTGAATTACAGCATCCTGTTGCTCATCACTTACTTATTCCCATTACTTATTATCCCTCTCACATGTAACTTGTTTTTTAAAACCTTTAAGTTTTAAGTATTAAAATCTTTTATACACCACTTATGTATGCACATTACATGTTTCGACAAACATTGACCATCTTCATACGACTCTAAAACTGCTGTACTTCCATCCGTCAAGTTCAATTATTGGAGTAGGCCCTTGCCTATGCACACATGTCCTGTGGTGATGGGTAGTCCTTCCTATTGTGTTGTGTGTAGCTGTTATGAATCACTTCCTTCCCTGATATTACCAGATTTCTATTGTCTCCCTTAGTGCTGGAATATCCATTGTACCCAAAGAGAACTCTTTTACAACTGCTGGGACATGAGTTTTACATGCAGAAAATGGAGTGGACTTCAATTACACCTGAACTATCTTAACACTCAACATGCGGTTATCTGCATGTCTGTCTTTCCATCAGAGTTTAACTGCTGCAATGTGGAGCTGTTGAAAATTACATCATTTACAAAAGTAAAGTATTTTAATCTTAACAAAATTACCACTGAGCTTGCATAATCTCTAATTTCTGTTGGTCTGATATGCCCCTCCCCACTTCTGTGTTCACATCTCCATGCATTTTCATGCTACAAGCTTACACAGTGAATCGATTGAACACACTCTAGCTCCGCATAAATGCTGCACTTTGTATCATTGTGATCTTTGGTCAGGGCATACCCATTCAGAACCTTAATAGTAACATTCAAGTTATCCCTCTGCTTAACAACAAACCATTAAGGCGTATAAAAGGAGCGGGCTATAGCACTCTTTTAAGGTTTCGTATTCCTTGGAAATGAGTGGTGCACTTCATACACCACATACACCTTCACAACTTCACAAGTGAGGAAGTCTACAGTACTACAGTGCGAAAAAATGAGCAGGCATTAAATGTCGTTATGAAGAAACAGAGTTAAAATTGACGAAATGAAAAAGTAACTGCATTTTATTTCTAGATACTTCCAATGTGTTATTTACTGTACTCTTTGACTTACTCTACGCCCTGCTTCTCAGATTTATCGAATTAACTATCCACAAATCATATTCAAGAGGAAGAAACAACTGCACTCACTCCATGCAACACTGTTATTTAAAGCAAACCACCTACAATACTCTTCCTCGGTAACAGTCTGCAATTACGTAGCCTGACACGCGAGAAAAAAAAAACTAACTCTTCAAATTTTTTGCGGCATTGCAATCACTGGCAATCACAGTCTCACACACGCTCACACAATAACCGACTAAACACAGATGATAGCACCGCCTAGCGGTAAAGTTTTGTGGGCACCTTGTTCCATGGGCATGCACGGTGAGAACCAAAGAACTATCCACGGATCACTACTACGTTCTGTTGAAGGGACCGCTACTCTTTGTATTTACTGAATGCTTGTCATTCAACCATTTTTATTCCTTTCGTTAACCATCCTGATTTATCATTTTTTTTTTTTAGAATTTTATGGGGGGAAAGAGATTTACAAAATGCGAGATACTTAGTTAAAAAGAACTGTACGCTCTATTTACATACGTACATACACATATCATACTTCATTCTTAACTGCTTATTAAATATTTCTGTATTTCTTTTAGAGATTTTTCTTACCTTTACGTTCATAACCTAAGCAAAATGGTCCAAATACTTTGTCCAGCAAAAAACTATATAAAGAAATATCAAGTTACTTATAAACGACAGATTTATTCAATAAACCATTCCTTTAGGCTCCATGATAGTTCCAAATCCACAGTATATCTCTCACCAATTCAATGCTTTTCTTCTTACAGAAAGTGGATAGGACGTTAAATCAAAATAAGAAGTGTAAATTTTGTCACGATACTGTTAGTAATAAAATATTAAGGACAAATAACACGTTTCTCACACCAATTACTGAAGATGCGGTTTTACATGCAAATAGTAAGCTAAAAGGTAAAATTCCATTAAGAATTATGCTATTTTCAAGAAATTACTTTCTCTGGAAATAAAATCCAAATATCCAATCACTCATACTCAATTCTGCCTGATTAACCATACAACATTAGGCATTCTTCAACCTGGTTCACTGGGTTATAAAGTGAATAAACTTCATAATCAATGCTACTTTGATTCATATTCATAGATAAGAAAATAAGATAAAAAATAATAAAATCTTGTCCTACTATTTCTTTCATTTAAATTATTAACAATTTTTATTTAAGCAATTACATGTGAAGAATGTCGTCTTCTGGGTTTAGGTGCCATGTATTCTTCGTTTTGGCCGACGTTTCGGAGGAACATATCGCCTCCATCTTCAAAGCAGTTGAATGGCTTGGAATGCAGAGAGCAGAAATGAAGAATACATGGTGCCTAAACACAGAAGACGACTTTCTTCATAGTCATCGCCGTGAAAACCTCAAAACTTACAATTACATGTGAAGTCTGAGTTTCAAGTTCAGTTGTCTCTCTTGTTACTTCACATTTGTGCACATGGAGAAATCCACTTTGGCAGAATGATTTTTCATGAATAAGAGTGATATACTTTCCTATAGTTCCTTTTTGAAAACTGCGATCCATACTGGACAAGTTCAAACAAAAGTTATAAAATAAATTTCAAGCTCACTGTGATACACTTGAAGCACAATGAACAATGTGGACTTTGATACTATTGTAGAGGTGCGTCCACATTATTCGTGCTTGTGTGACTCACTATGCTCGCAAGTAATGTGGACAATGTGACAAGTCATGAGACAAGCAAATTTTAAAAATAAAAACTATAGCCGATAAATTAAAATGACTACAGCCTATACACACTACAAGTAAATATATGGATCCTCACACAGTGAAGCCTGGGGAGCGACTGAAGTAGTGTGGACGAAGATTTACAAGCACAAGTAAAAGCCAGACGAGTCTCCCGATGTGCACAAGCCTAGTGAGCATGAGCATGAGTAACATGGACGCGCCTTAACATTTTCACAAACTGCAGTAACTCTAAAATTATACTTTTCATCCACAACGGGCAAGAAGATTGTCTCCATTAGTAATGTACAGCAATGTACATATATACTTTAGTCAGTTTGTTCACCTTTGCAATCTACTTACCTCTAAGCTTTCAACTAAATAAGACAATGCAAAGTGAATTTGTGAATTTCTTTATTTTTAAGTTTTCTTCTCAATATTATAATTGTTTATGCCAATTCAGTACAGAATAGAATTCATTCAAATTTTAGTTCCATCTTGACAACTCACATTTTAATGTTTAAAAATCACAGAACTGTAAACCAAAATAATCATTACTATTTTCTTTAATTTCAACTGTTTTGTTTTTCTTCAATCACTAATGTAATTATGACAACTTATGCTGACAAATTAAAAGTCCTTTATCATAAAAATGTGTTATATTTTAACAAAATTCATTAAGAATCTTGACCATATATCTTTACATGATATATGTTGTTATTGTACCATAAATTAATTAGCATCAACTTTTCAGCTTCAAAATATTAATTAAGCATTACTCATCAATATGATTTAATAATTTTAATCTGAAAATGGTACAATTATTTTCATTACTTGAGAATTACTTCTCAATTACCAAATACTGGGAAATAAATGTGAACCCAGTTCTCAAAGCCCATCTAAGGGGCATGTTTACTCACTGTTGACAACCAAGATGCCTGTACATGTGAAACTGGAGATTTATACAAATCAGTTATTAGCCAAATATAACAAATACATTACAGTATGGGACAAAATTAGACTACCATTAGAGAGAAAATTATCATCATCAAATTTGCTTCATATCAGAAATAAAGTGATACTGCACTTTACATTACTGATAGTTATGTAGTTATGCACAAGAAGAAACATTACAGAATTCACTAAAGTGTGATATATGTGTGATTTCACTTCAAATTATATGGCACAGAAAAGCTACAGCAGGCATATCAGCATGAAAAATATAATATGCTTATGCAGGGGCAAGTAGCACCTTGGTTGTTTTAGTGTTTTTATATATGGGTGCAATTGGTATTTTCCTTACTTAGGGAATGTCATACCTCTACACCCTATTAACTAATGTACAAATAATAGTCATAGGTGACGACTTCGCAATCAGCAACTACTAACAGTTGTAACTGGCAAATTACATATGAAACACTACAATACCATTTTATTTTTAACTTCTCAAGACAGTATTTTTGTAACAGAAACAAATTGCAAGTAGTTATTGCCTCACTTGGGTTTCTAAATCCTACACTTTTTAGATCTACTGATATTATATCTTCAGGCACGCATTCTGAAGTATTACTGCAAGAGTACATCACATGTCTAAACTTTTTTGCACAACAGAATTTCATTTGATTGACCAAACAGAGCTGCATCACTTTTCAACCACCTCCCCCCCACAATAAAAAATTGAAACATTTTATTTAGATCAGAATTTTAAGTCCATCACAATACACAATTTTAAGTGCAAGACAATAACAGCATCTACAGAAAGATATCCCAAATGAGGTACCTGCAGGTTCTGAGTTCAGAACAGAATTACTGTCACCTAGTATCAATATCCATCTTGGAAAGACAATTACAAAATATGCAGCTCTCACTACTGAACTCCTAGAATGTAAATTCAGACTTCAGTTCCACATGTAAAGTGTAAAATATGCACCAATCTTTGAACTAATACATTGCAGC